GTGGAAACCTATTCCGATACCACGCTTGAATTCACTGAGTTCCTGAGAGCGAGCCATTCTTTCACAAATGTTTGTAGAAGCAGCCTGCATGCCTAGGTGCTTGATTTTATACATCTGTGGCCATGGAGGTGATTGGAACACCTGAATCCAATGATTTGGCAATATAGTGTATATACACTCACCAGCCACTTTATTAGGTACACCTGTTCAATTGTTTGATAACACAAATTGCTATTCAGCCAATCACATGGCAGCAACTCAATGCATTTAGGCATCTAGACATGGTGAAGACGACTTGCTGAAGTTCAAACAGAGCATCAGAATGGGGAAGAAAGGGGATTTAAGTGACTATGAACATGGCATGGTTTTTGGGGCCAGTCCGGCTCATCTGAGTATTTAAAAAACTGCTGATATACTGGGATTTTCACGCACAATCATCTCTAGGCTTTACAGAGAATGGTCCGAAAAAGAGAAAATAATCCAGGGAGCAGCAGCCATGTGGACATAAATGCCTTGTTGATGTCAGAGGTCAGAGGAGAACGTTACAACCAAGGTATGCAGAATACCATCTCTATAAGCACAACACATTGAACCTTGAAGCAGATGGGCTACAACAGCAGAAGACCACATCCGGAGTCACTCCTGTCAGCTAACAACAGAAAACGGAGGCTACAATTTGCGCAGGCTAACCAAAATTGGACAATAAAAGACGGGAAAAACATTGCTTCTCTGATGAGTCTCGATTTGAGCTGCGACATTCAGATGTCAGTCCAGAACTGTGGCGTAAACAGCATGAAAGCATGGATCAATCCTGTCTTGTATCAACGATTCATGGATGCGCAGCTGAAAAATCTGCAGCAACTGCATGAAGCTATTATGTCAATATGGACCAAAATCTCTGTGGAAAGTTTCCAACACCTTGTGAATCTATGCCATGAAGATTAAGGCAGTCTTGAAGGCAAAAGGGGATCCAACCAAGTACTAGCAAGGTGTACCTAATAAAGTGACCGGTGCGTGTGTGTGTGTGTGTATATATATACAGTTGCAAGAAAAAGTATGTGAACCCCTTGGGATTACGTGGAGTTTTGCATGAATTGGGCATAAAATGTGCTCTGAACGTCATCTAAGTCACAACAATAGAAGAACACAGTCTGCTGAACATAATACTACACAAACATTAGATGTTGCCATTGTTTAATTGCACATAACATGTAAACATTCACAGTGCAGGGAGGAAAAAGTATGTGAACCTTTGGACTTTATAACTGGTTGACCCTCCTTTGGCAGCAATAACCTCAACCAAATGTTTCCTGTAGTTGCAGATCAGACCTGCACAACGATCTGGAGTCATTTTGGACCACTCCTCTTCACAAAACTGTTTCAGTGTAGCAATATTCTTGGGATGTCTGGTGTGAATCGCTCTCTTAAGGTCATGCCACAGCATTTCAATCGGGTTGAGGTCAGGACTCTGACTGGGCCACTCCAGAAGGCGTATTCTGTGCTGTTGCAGCCATTGTTTTGTTGAATTACTTTTATGCTTTGGGTCATTGTCCTGTTGCATCACCCATCCTCTGCGGAGCTTCAGTTGGCGGACAGATGGTCGTACGTTTTCCTGCAAAATGTCTTGATAAACTCTGGAATTAATTTTCCCATCAATGACAACAATCCGTCCAGGCCCTGAGGCAGCAAAGCAGCCCCAAACCATGATGCTCCCTCCGCCATGTTTTACAGTTGGGATGAGGTTTTGATGTTGGTGTGCTGTGCCTTTTTTTCTCCACACATAGTGTTGTGTGTTGTTCCCAAACAACTCAATCTTGGTTTCATCTGTCCACAGTATATTTTGCCAGTAGTGCTGTGGAACATCCAGGTGCTCTTTTGCAAACTTCAAACGTGCTGCAATATTCTTTTTGGACAGCAATGGCTTCCTCCGTGGTGTCCTCCCATGTACTCCATTCTTGTTTAATGTTCTCCTTATTGTAGATGTGTCAACAAAAATGTTAGCATGTGCCAGAGATTTCTGTAGGTCTTTAGCTGACACTCTGGGATTCTTCTTTACCTCATGCAGCATTCTGCGCTGTGCTCTTGCAGTCATTTTTACAGGACGACCAAGCCTAGGGAGAGTAGCAACAGTGCTAAACTTTCTCCATTTGTAGACAGTATGTCTTACCGTGGACACATGGACATCAAGGCTTTTGGAGATACTTTTGTAACCCTTTCCAGCTTCATGAAAGTCAACAATTCTTGATCGTAGGTCTTCTGAGAGCTCTTTTCTGCGAGGCATGGTTCACATCAGACAGTGCTTCTTGAAACCAGTAAACCCAAAACAGGTGTGTGTTTTTTAAGGGCAGGACAGCTGTCAACAACACATCCAATATCATCACACTGATGGAGTCAAGGTTGGCTCACTCCTGGCTCCAAGTAGCTCTGGGAGAAGTCATTAAGCTAGGGCCTCACATACTTTTTCCTCCCTGCACTGTGAATGTTTACATGTTATGTGCAATTAAACCATGGCAACATCTAATGTTTGTGTAGTATTATGTTCAGCAGACTGTGTTCTTCTATTGTTGTGACTTAGATGACGTTCAGAGCACATTTTATGCCCAATTCATGCAAAATTCAACGTAATCCAAAGGGGTTCACATACTTTTTCTTACAACTGTATATATATATATATACACACACACACACACACACACACACATACATTGAAGCTTACTAGTGTTTGAATGTGTTGGCTACATGGTGATTAATTATTTTTTTTCTGTTATCTTCAAGTTGGGTGTTGGCCAGTAAAACACTTCTAGTCCTAGGATTACAACACTCACTCTCTCATCTTTATCAGGGCAAGAGAAATAAGATAGAGCTATTTCCATAACAGAGGGTTTGGTTTTGAAGTACAAAGAGAACAATGTAATTGAAAAAAGGTCAGTGCAGACAGAGAGCACAGGAGGAAATCCCTTCACAAGATATATGCCAAGAGAAACAGGTATTTTTTTGAATGTGTTAAACAGATATAAAAAATGCTTTCAATGGTATATTGAACAGACCAAAAGATTCCAATATAAGAAAGGTTTATTGTTAAGGTCTACATACATTTTAAATACAATAAAAAACAAAAGTTCAGCCTCCTGGCTAACCGCCACCTTCTTTGGGGTTGATTTAGAAATAATTTGCATAGTAACAGTGCATATTCCACAGTTGGCCACTAGATGGGCTAAGTGTCATAGGAATCTCCTATACCACTTAGCGCCATCCAGTGGACAAATGCTGCATTTTCTGTTTACAAAAAATTATTTTCTATTTAAAAAAATACAGAATACAGCCTGTTTACATTTGTTTTTGACCATTCATACAAAATTAATGCACATGCACTTTCACTGGATGAGTGTCTGTGCAAACTCTTTATAAATCAGCCCTTCTGGGTTTGTTACACTCTCAGCCTGTTCCATTATAGACTGAAACTCCTTCAGTTTCTCACTGCTACTCTTTATAAAGTATGATAGGGCTTATTAAGTTATTAATCCCCTGTCTACTCCAAAGCAGCCAGTTTGCAGGAAGTCAATCAGTCTACCTGATACAATTCTGGACAATAAATACACTTCATCCTGGACATATCAGCCAATAAATGTTCCACCCGGCTCATTTGACTTGTATATTCACATTTACGAAGCCATGTGGTGAGTGCAGGGCCATTCATGCCCCAAAATTCAGTGGATTCAGCAGGAATTAAACAGAACTTGAGTTGCACATTGGCAGCCTTATTCTGGCCATATCTCATTTCATTCTAATGCCTGGCACACGCTATCAGTTTTTTTAATTCAATAAAAAAAAACTGTACTAACTATCCGAACTTAGTACAGCGATCCCCCTGCTGAACTATTGTGTTCTGACAGGGGGACAGCACTGACCGGATGCCGATCAAATGCTGGTTTTCCAGCATGCTCATTTGACAGAAGCCAGCCTTTTCTGTTGAACCGGCCACTACCAGTCATTATTGGGCCATTGTGTACAGGGCTTAAAGTGCATTTGGCTGCACAATAAGCCTTAAAAGCCCCAGCTTTATTATTGGAACTGCTGGAAGTTATTGCACAGCACTAACCACAGGATCTGAAGGGACCATAGTAGCACAGAAGAATACAATACTTTGGTATTTTGTTTAAAGGTGAAGTTCAATGACATTAATGTCACTTCAGCAAACATAGCTAGATGGGGCAGAGCTGGATCCAATCGTGACTGCTGTGCCAGCCAATTACAGCAATCAAGTGATGCTGCTGAAGCTGCCTCCACCTCCTGGTGCTAAAACCACTATAAAGGGCTGCTGGAAGGTGATGGGAAGGACAGCATCCTTATAGATCATTAAGTGTACAAAAACAAAGCTATTTTATGGCCCTAAGAACATATTATAGGCCTTATTTAAGGCCCTTTGTGTATTTTAAGCTGACCACCATTGATATACAGTAGATACTACTTTTTCAGATATAACAACTGAAGTTCAAACACATTACTGTCTCTAATCTTGTTTTTCAAAATTTCATGAGGCTGATTTACTGAAGTTAAGAAGATTTGGGTAATAGATTGTATGAATATTAACATCAGTTATCCAATCATGTGAAAATAAAGTGCCTGTTTACTTATTATATCTCATTGTTAGGATAACTGAAATAAAAATTCACACTTTTTATTGGCAATCAGCCCAACTATGTGATTCCTAAGGAAATTCTGTTCTCAATGGAAAGCAAAACTATAATTTCAGGGCTGCAAGCTACAGGACAAGACTCAGTGCAGTGCACCCACTGTATTACATTTTTAACTGTAATTTTTCATTTTAAAATACTTTGGTGGTGAAAATGCACATGACTGATTATCACATATAGAAGAAAAAACTAGAACTTTTTTAAATTAATCATAATGTCTTTTGTATAGTAACCTAACAAATGTAGGTCATCAACATTTGAACTTCATTCCCAATTACTGTATCTGAAGGGTGAATTGCATTGGAGTCAAATGCATTGGTCATATCCCATCCATTGACAAAAACCCACATTTAGGTTAGTGAAAACTATTTCCATTATTGAATAATGAACAGAAGCATGAAAATCGCTCATGGTTTCAAAGTTTTTGTTCATCTCACCTGTATTCTCAGTCTTAATGATAACTTTAGTTTGTGGACTTCTTAGAAAGAGACGTTCAATAGCACGTCGTATATTAAGGAGCCGTTTAATGAAATAATAAGTGGGATATGCTCTAAAATGTACCCCTATATTTAGTATAATCACAGTACGATGATCACCTCTAATTAAGTCAATTTCTCGAGTAATAGTGCGCTCCTCCTTCCAGGACTGATATGAGCTAGTGATGAATGGATAGGTGTGCCTTTTCCAGGATATCTTCATATTCCTTTTCAGGTCCAAATTTAAAAGCTGATGTGACCAATTGTCATCATAAAGGTAGAATTGTGCCAATGCTGAGGGAAAAAAATAATAATTTGAATTGAGAACATTCATAGAATTAAGTTACCTTTGTATATCTTATTTAATTTCTTGGTTACCATAAAAAGAGTATTTATTTCTATTATACAGTTTATTACATATTAATATAGTTACATATTAACCCCTATAAAACAAACATACAAAACCAAGTCCCACCCCCCCCCCCCTTCCTAGACTGCTCTCTTAGCGATCCAGATTTCTATCTGCTTTCCCTACATTCTTACCCTCTAGTTCAGGGGTGCTCAACCTGTAGCCCTCTGAGCCCTCTGGTGTGGCCCTCAACCTCAAACCAGGGATGTACACTTCTAGTGTATCTTGCAGGTTTGGTACACGTTCTAAAAGCACACCAAAACTCCTGAATGCAGGAGTTTTGGTGTGCTTTCAGAAAGTGCACCATACTTGCAAGATATAATAAAATAAAAGTATGGCAAAGCACTCAAAGCATGGCTGGATCTAGGGGGGTGCTTGGGTGGGCTGTGCAACCCAGATTTCAGTTGTGCACCCCCCAGGCTGGGTATTAAAGTGATCAGTCCAGAGAGGAGAGAGCGGGGATGTAAGGGAATTCCCGTGAGACAGCTGGTGAATAGACGTGCACCTGTGCACAAAAATGCACGATCACACGCACGCACGGTGAAGATTGGCGCCAGACGGACTATTTAAAAGGTGCCTCTGCCTGTGCTGAGTGCTGACTGGTCTTCAGCTGTTCCCCATTTCCTGCTCGTTCCTGTGTGATTTCCTTGTTGCTGACCCAGCTTGTTCCTGACCTGACTCTGATTACTCTCCTGCTTGATACTTGTTCCTGACTTCGGCTTGCTTCTGATTTGGTACCTCGCTGTCTGCCCGTTGATGACCCCGGCTATTCCTATGACATTGCTCCTGTCTCCCATCCCTGCTTCCTGCCTTGCTCTGGTGCACACCTGGCCATCTACCATACCAGCTCTGCATATTACTACTGTGCCTGAATCGGAGGTTTATCAATCTTCCAAAGTCTCCAACTGCAAGAGCTGCAAACAACATCTACTGGCACTCTTGTCCCCCTGGTCCCTAGACACCCTCTGTTTAACTTCCAGTGGGGTCAGGGCTAGTGATACAAGTGAGGCCGACCTCGTCATTTCAGTCTCCAATCAGGTACGTGACGGGAGGAGATGCGGGCTCTTTGTGATCTCCCCTCCTATCATAACAGCAGGTTACATAGGATCACTATTACATCCCAAGGTACACGGCTTCATTACACCCCCCCCCCCCCCCCCATCCACATATCCAAGAGTTGAGCAGTCTTTGGAGGAATTGAGGGGGGTAATGAAGCCGTGTGCCATCAGATGTAATAGCGATCCTAAGTAACCTGCTATATATAACCTTTATATATATATATGTTTTACTGAGGATTTTTACATGCGTTTATCCTGGATGTTCAGCTGCTGTTTCTTTGAGAGCGCTCACTGTGTGTCCTTTACCTATACAGCTAAGTAACCTGCTGTATGGAGGATCGCTGTTATGACAGGAGGGGAGATAACAGAGAGCCTGCATTTCCTCACTACTCCACTACTCCTGTTGTTTCCGCATGTAAGATTTGGGGAGGGGGAGCTCGTAGAGAATGGGTGGGGGGGAGGGGTATTTGTGCTGGGAAGGGTAATTGGGGGTGGGAGATGTGTTAGGAGACAGGATTTGGTAAGATTTGTGCTAGGAGGGGGGAATTTGGGGGGGGGGATTGTGCTAGGTGGGGGATTTGGGGGGGGTGGATTTGTGCTAGGAGGGGGGAATTGGGGGGGGATTAATGTTAGGTGGGGGGAATTGAGGGTGATATGTGCTACTAGAGTGATTTGGGTATGGGGGATTTGTGCTGGGAATAGGTAATATATTTTAAGCGGTTATGCTAGGATGAGGAATTTGGGTGGGGGTTGTACTAGAAGGGGGGATGGGGGGGAATATGTACTAGTAGGGTTGATTTGTACTAGAAGGGAGGATTGGGGAGGCATTTGTATTAGAAGGGGGGAGGATTTGTACTGGGGGTAGGATTTGTGGTCTGATGAAAAAGCTGATTGCTTTGAAACGTGTCACCGCCCCCTTCCTGCGGCTCCACGTTAAGTCCTGACGTTACTTCCGCCCGGCGGCCATATTTGTTGCATTCCAGGCTGGTTTCTACCTACGTGACACAGCCCTTGCTGGCTGGAGAGGCACAACGCCTGCCAAGAGACCCGGCTCTCTCACGCACCGTGGCCCCCTGGATATCCACCTGCCCTCCCTGCTCCTCCCATGGGATCTGTACAGGAGAACCAGCGTTCACGTTAGCTGTGGCAACTGGAACCCATCCATCCTGCTTATAGCACTACGCCCAGATGACGTCCTTCCCATACATTTTGATGCCTGAAAAATCTCTACCTCCTGTGAGTTACTTATATTTGTGTGCAATAAACTGTTACTTTTATACTACACTTAGTCTGGCACACCTCTCTCTCATCTAATTTTTCACTACAGAGTTCCGCTTAGCTCTAGAGGGTGCTGCCTCATGAAGGTGCCATACCTTGCAGCGTTTAAAGAAACCCCCCCTCTCTCACCCAGAACTACCCAAGCTGCATTATTTTCTATCTCCACCAAACCACTAATACAACCCCCCTTGCAGGGAGCGAGGAGCCAGACACACAAGGAGGTGCAATTAAAGGTAGGTTTAAAATACAAAAACAAGACAGAGTCTATGCAAGTCCAACAGCAACAGCGGATGACTTGGTAGAACAGTAGCCAGGAAGGATGGCCGCCAGAGCCGGGGTCAGAAGCCAGGAAGGATGATCACCAGAGCCGGGGTCAGAAGCCAGGAAGGATGGTCGCCAGAGCCGGGGTCAGAAGCCAGGAAGGAGTCTTGACAAAGCCGAGTCGGTATCCAGGAGAGCAATGAGAAACTAAACAGGAGCTAGCTGCTGTGCAACAGACAGGACACAAATGCAATGGACAGCTACAAACAGCAGACTTATATGTGATAAGACGCCACCTCCTGGGGGAGGGACCCGCAGAGGGCTGAAAGCATAAAGGTTCCCACAATGCTTTGCAGACACCTAAGATGGATGTCAGCACATGGAGCAGCACAAGCCCTGAGGAAAGGTAGGACCTTGACAGTACCTCCTCCTCAAGGGCCCCTCCCCCTCCGCGGCTCAACATAAGGCTTCTGGGGAAAGCGGGCGTGAAAAGCGCGGAGGAGGGCAGGAGCATGAACATCCGCGGAAGGAACCCAGGAAAGCTCCTCAGGACCATAACCACGCCAATGGACCAGGAACTGCACCCGACCACGGACCAACCAAGAGTCCAGGATGCGGCTCACCTCATACTCCTCATGACCATCAACCCAGATAGGATGAGAACGAGGACGAGGCCGAGGCGGAGAGGCAGTAAAGTGATTACAGACCAGAGGCTTCAACAGGGATACGTGGAAGACTTTGGAGATACGCATCCCAGGAGGAAGAGCAAGGGCATAGGCAACCGGATTCACCCTGCGGAGGATGCGGAAAGGACAAACAAAACGGGGAGCCAGTTTCGGTGCGGGCACCCAAAGATTTAGGTTACGAGTGGACAACCACACCCAATCTCCAACCTGGTATGAAGGAGCGGGCAGCCATCTACGATCAGCCTGGAGCTTCTGGCACTGAGCTGAGTCCTTCAAGGACCTCTGGATCTGCCGCCACGAGGAACGCAGGGCAGCAAGATGGTTATCCACAGCCGGAATGTCCTGTGGCGAGAACAACTCAGGCAATACAGCGGGTTGGAACCCATAGTTGGCCATGAAGGGAGACATCCCGGACAGCCGAGTTCCTCGCAAACTCTGTCCATGGCAGGAGATCGACCCAATTGTCTTGATGGTCTGAGATAAAGGAATTGTTCCAGGGCCTGGTTGGAACGCTCCACAGCCCCATTGGACTGCGGGTGGTAGGCCGAAGAGAAGGAGAGCTTGATATCCAACTGAGAGCAGAAGGCTCGCCAGAACCTGGACACAAACTGGCTCCCACAGTCCGAGACAATCACCTTAGGTAACTCATGCAAGTGAAAGATCTCCCTGGTGAAAACCGTAGCCAGTTCTTGCGCAGTCGGCAATTTCTTGAACGGAACACAATGGCACATCTTGGAGAAACGATCAATGACCATAAGAATGACCGTATGGCCTCGAGACGCAGGGAGGTCTACAATAAAATCCATGCCCAGGTGTGACCAGGGACGCTCCCCATTGGGAATGGGTTGCAGAAGGTCCAATGGAAGATGCCGAGGAGATTTATTCTGGGCACAGACAGAACATGCCGCTACATATGAGGTGATGTCGGAACAGAGAGATGGCCACCAGAATAAACGAGAAATGACCCAGGACAACTGGTCCCTCCCTGGATGACCGGCAGTCTTAGAATTATGGTAGGTACGCAGTAAGCGGGTGAGCAATCCCTCAGGTACAAAACATCTACCAGCCGGTCTCTCAGAGGGAGCATCAGTTTGAGCCGACAAAATCTGCTCCCCAAGGGGAGAAGCCAGGCTTGTGCGAATGGCAGCCAGGATCTGATCCAGAGGTATGGCCTCGGATGACCACTCGTGAGGATTACTGCCCTTCTTGGTCAGATGTGAGAGAGGCTTGGCCAGCGTGGAGAAGTTCCTAATAAACTTCCGATAATAGTTGGCGAATCCCAAAAAGCGCGGAATGGACCGAAGACCACTGGGACGAGGCCACTGCAGAACCGCCAAAACCTTCTGAGGGTCCATGGAAAATCCCACAGCGGAAATGATGTAGCCCAAAAAGGCAACCTGGGATCAGTGAAATTCACACTTCTCGAGCCTACAGAAAAGCTCATTCTCACGTAACCGTTGCAGCACCCGCTTAACATCCTGGATATGAGACTCCATAGACGCAGAGTAAACCAGGATGTTGTCCAAGTAAACCACCACGCACTGCTGCAACAAGTCACGAAAGGCATCATTAATGAACTCCTGAAAGACCGCGGGCACGTTACACAACCTGAAGGGCATAACCAGGGATTCATAGTGGCCGGTTCTGGTGTTGAACGCGGTCTTCCACTCGTCGCCCTCCTTGATTCGTACGAGGTTGTACGCAGCCCTAAGGTCGAGTTTAGTAAAGACCGTTGCTCCCTTGAGGCGGTCAAACAACTCGGTAATTAACGGAATTGGGTAAGCATTCTTAATCGTGATTCAATTGAGACCCTAAAATCAATGCAAGGCCTCAATTCACCACCCTTCTTTTCCACAAAGAAAAAGCCAGCTCCTGCTGGAGAAGCAGACTTGCGAATGTGCCCCCGGGAAAGCGCATCCGCAACGTACTCCTCCATGGCCTGATTCTCCGCAACCAAAAGAGGATACACCCTGCCACGTGGAGGAGTGGCACCGGGTTGTAAGGTTATGGTACAATCGTATGGACGATGAGGAGGCAGAGCACCAGCGTGCACCTTGTCAAACACGTCCAGGTACTCCCCATAGTCAGTAGGCAACACAGAGTCCGAGGAGGCACACAACACCTTAACAGGTCCATGGATGCAACCAGCCCCACAATGTGGAGACCACGAGAGAATCTCGGACGACCGCCAATCAAAGTCGGATTGTGCTTCTGAAGCCAGGGATATCCCAAAACCACGGAGCAGTGCGGGGAAGAAATTACCTGGAAACAGGCCAACTCCCGGTGAACAGCCCCAATAGCTACTTCAACCAGCAGGGTCTCGTGGGTAACCTGCGGCGGTTGCAGGGGCCTGCCATCTATCGCCTCGAGGACCAATGGAGTAACTCGAGCTTGCAGAGGAATGGAATACTGGGCAGCAAGCGAACTGTCCATAAACATTCCGCCAGCAGCAGAGTCTACCAACACCTGGGCCGTCACCGAGCCTTCCGCCAAAGAGAGGACAACGGTAATTAGCGGTTTATCTTTGCGGGGAAACCGGGGATGAGGAAACTCCACCCAAGATCTGCCCCCGACAGGATCTCAGGTGCGAGCGTTTCCCGGAAGGACCGGACAGGACTGGCGAAATTGCCCACCGAGACCACAGTACAGGCAGCGACCCTCCCGACGCCGAGAGGCCCACTCCCCCTCGGAAAGGTGAGCAAACCCCAGCTGCATGGACTCACTGCAAGACAAGCTATCCCCAGGAGGCGTGAGAGGAGAGGGAGGAATGGGTGGGACAGAAAACATAGGCGCCAATCGGTTAGGAGGCCTCCGCAGACGCTCCTTAAGTGAAGGCCTCTCCCTGAGCCTGGTGTCAATCAGGATTAGGAAGGAAATGAGTGCTTCGAGCTCCGCAGGCAGTTCTTTGGCTGCAATTTCGTCCTTCAACGCATCTGAGAGACTATGAGAGAAAGCAGCCACCAGAGCCTCATTGTTCCAACCCACCTCTGCCGCCAGGGTATGAAATTCTATGGCGTACTCGGCAACGGTTCGTGAACCCTGATGCATGGACATGAGCAGCTTAGCAGCAGAGGCGGAGTGAGCAGGCACATCAAATACCATACGGAAGGAGGCAACAAAACCGGCAAACTCGTGAATCACAGGGTTATCGTTCCCCCATAAGGGATTTGCCCAGGCCAAGGCCTTGTCCGAGAGCAGCGAGATTAGGAAGCCCACCTTTGACCTCTCAGTAGGAAAAGCGAGGGGTATCAATTCAAAACATATGCCCAGTTGCTTAAGGAAACCCCGACACTGACTCGGCTCACAAACAAATAGCTGTGGAAGGGGGGCTGAACCAGTCATACCTCTGGGCACCAACAATAAAAGAGGGCGCAGCGCTAAGAGCAACAAAATACCTTAAACATACACAGATAAACATATGAATAACAAGCAATATATGAAGTAAAAATGGTGACTATGGTGTGTCACCCGCAGAGCCACCAGGGAAGGCAGCTGAGAGGTTTCATAGCCTATAAGCTCATGATCCATAGGGGAGCCAGAATGGACAGATGTGCCCAGATGGTGACCCTGAGATGCCATACCTATCCTTAAGATGACCTCATGAGAGCTACATCTTAGCACTGGAGCACTTTGATTTTGATTTTAGCACCATGAGCATTTTATTACTTTGCTGCTGGACTTATCATATACTGTGGACTTATTTATTATTATTTATTTAAACATTCATTCTCAGATTGAACTATATTTATTATTTATTTGCATTAATAAATATAATTTTGAATCAGATTATATGTTTTGGACATTATCAGTTTTGCTTTTTCACATGGTGTTTCGGATTTATGTATTATGAAATATGTATGAATTGATTGTGCACATTATATTTTGATTACTTAAAAGAGACAAGCACACTCATTTTCTTAAATAAAATAGTAATTGGTCATACATATCCTCACCTATCATCAAGTTATAGTTGCAGAATTAACATTCCACCTAAACACTAACCACTGATGGGCCATACTCTAAAAGTGAACCTGAACTCAAAAAGTGGACTGGGCACTTTCACCCCCTTACAGCCCAGGCCAAGATTCAGCTTTCAACAGTCATGCAACACTGTACCCAAATTAATTTCTTTTATCATTTTTTAGAAAGATAGAGCTTTCTTTTGGTGCTTTTAATCACCGCTGTGTTTTTATTTTTTTTGCTACATAAATGAAAACAGATGTTTTTGAAAAACATTTTTTTTTTTAGTTTATGTTATAACATTTTGCAAACAAATAATCTTTCTTCATAAATTTAGGCCAAAATGTGTTCTGCTCCATCTATGGTAGAAAAACCCAAATCAGTGTATATTATTTAGTCTGGGTGACAGTTAAAGAGTCTACAAACTATGGTACAAACTATGGTATGGTTCTTGAGGCCCTAAAATGCCAGAGAGAGAGAGTACAAATACCCCCCGAATGACTCATTTTTGGAAAGTAGTCAGTCCAAAGTAATTAGTAAGAGGCATGGTGAGCTTTTTTTGTAATTTGTTGTATTTTTTGTCACAATTTTCTGGAAAATAAAATAAATAAAATTTGGTTTTTTTTCCACAAAAATTTCCATATTAACAAGTTATTTCTCACTCACAGCATAAGCATACCTAAAATTACACACCAAAATGCATTCTGCTATGCCTTCTGAGTGTGGGGACTCTACATATGTGAGACTTTTTCATAGTCTTAATGCATAGAGTGTCCCAAATCCCAGGTGCATCTTTGAGCTTCCAAGGAGCATAAATAATGCATCTAATTTCTGCCTACCTATCACATTTTGGAGGCCCTGGAGCACCAGGACAGTGGAAACACCCACAAAATGACCCCATTTTGGAAAGCAAACACACCTAGGTATATTTGAAAGGTATAATACGTTTTTTTAAAGTCATTTTTCGCCACAAGTTTTTGGAACATGCAGGAAAGAAAATAATTTTTTTTTTTTTACACAAAGTTATCAATTAATAAGATATTTCTAAAAAAACAGCATAGGCATACTTAAATTTATATCCCAAAACACACTCTGCTACTCCTCCTATGGCAATAGGAGGAGTATGGCAATACCACATATGGACGATTTTTTCACAGACTAGCCACACAGAGGAGCCCAAAATCAAAAGAGCACCTTCACGCTTTCTAGGAGCATGAATTATTCATCTAATTTGCTGACTAGCTATCACATTTTTGGAGGTCCTGGAACACCAGGACAGACACACCTACAAAATTACCATATTTTGAAGAAGAAACACTCCAATGTATTTTTGAGAGTAATCAGTCCATTTTCATGCATTTTTCTTCTGTGTGTTTTTTTTTTAACTAAAAAAACTGAACAAAAACTGGTCAATGTGAAAGGGCCCTTATTGTGTTTGGATTGGATGAAGGTGGGCCATTTTCCAAGATCTGAATCGATTATAAAATAACGAATATACAAAATAAATCTGAATATACGATACAAATCTGAATATACAAAGCAAATTCCAAAAACGAATCATTCTAACATGACAAATATGACAAAACAAATGTATTAACTTATGGAATTAAATGTTTCCATTGTGCACATCTCTTCTCCTGCACAATCTTTGTGTTTCATATATATATATATATATATATATATATATATATATATATATATGGAGAGGGGGGAATTATTAGGATTAACAAAATCTGTTAGTTGTGAGACTAATTTACTTAAAGTTATGTAGAGCATGCTAGAAAACTGGTTTAAATAGAACTAAGGGCAAAACTTTTTTTCTATTTTGGATAAAACACACACACACACATATTGAACTGGATTGACCAGTGTCAACCTTACCAACTATGTATTTATGGACAGAGTAAAGGAGGGTTATAGCACGTACAGTTTTTTTTATTGCCACCTGTGTCCCTGTTGGAGGATTTCCCTCTATTACTGTTATGGGCACAACCCAAAATTTGGTATTTTCTTTCACTTTTGGCAATAATAGTAAACAGGACAAATAGTGACAGGTGTCCTAATCTCCGCCGCAAGAAATTACTGCATTCTGTATTGTTTCAAACTTACCACTGATGTGATTCTTAAAATACATAATCCACTGTCTTAGAGTTGAATCGCCAAACAGGTAGATGAACTTCCATTGCAAGCATGTGCCCAGTTCTTCCAAACTGTCATATTTCATCATACTGCATGCCTTTGGATACCATACATTCTTCATGACATATCCACTGGGATATTCTAACTTCATACCAAGTGTGCATTTTTCTTTTACTTCAGTAACATCTATTAAAAATAAAATTACAAATAGTATTTGTTTCAAAATATGCTTTTGATATGCAAATATATTGATACATATGGTACTCAGGCACACAAAATTGAAATAAAAATCACTGCAGGTTACCAAAAGTAGTATAAAGTGCACCAATCTCTCTCTCATAAGACACTTAAAGGATAAGTTCAACTTTTGGACAAAAATAATAAATGCACATTTTTTTGCAGATAAAAGAATAGCATTTAATATTTTTGTCCAAAGGAGCCTGGAAAGCATTGCACCAGCGATCAGTAGATTTACAGTCAAGCAGATATTCTGACAGGAAGCTTGAATGAACTACAACGGTTCTCCACAGCGCAGTGGTAGTTCATTGAAAACTACAAGCCCACAGCCGCTAAGGCTGCCAGGACGTGAAGGCACTCGTTCACAGAACTTTGTGAATGAGTGAGGTGGCCGTGTGGGCGGAGCCCTGCAAAGCAGCCGTGCTGTTTTCAAATATGACAGATAGTACGGGGAAACTTCTCCCCGTACTATCTGTCAGAGGGGAGGGGGGGGGCAGCGGGCACTGCTGCGGATATGGGAACATGTTACATGTTCCACCCTAAAAATGGGTGGAACATGTAACATGTTCCAAAGTTAAACTTATCCGTTAAAGCATATATAAATCCTAACAACATACTTCTGTCATTTTGTCCCTTTTAGTTTGTTATATACCAGAAGACCACCTTTACAACGAAACACGTAGGACAGAACCTCTTGCTGACGTCATTGCGTAGCAGAAGTGACCCAGAAAGTTACCACTGTGTGCTGACTATGGTGATCTATTAATGCACATTTACTGTTTTTATACATGTGAGCGCAATATCTTGAATAAAGGTGCCACACGATATTTAACACCATGGGAATCATTTTTATGTTTTCTTTCTTTTACTACATGCTGCTGATGACTAGAGGTGATGGGGCTTGTCAGTGGTTCTAATGCACAGAGGAATGGATGCCATTGGTGCCTGATTTCATGTATTGAGCTATTTATGACCACTCTTTAATTAGGGGGTCATCAATATTTGGTAATGTCAGGACTTGTGTCATCACCTGGGTCACTTGTTGGTGGCACTATGGTTCCCAGAGTCAAAAGGCGCAGTTCCGGTGGTCACCAGAAGGTGTTTCCCAGCAGCTGGGCTGTCCGAGTAATTAGGCTGCTGGGAGGTATATAAGTCCTCCCATAACTGAGGTTCAGTGCTTCAGTATTAATCCTGCAAGCCATGTCCCTGCCTGCCAGAGCCTGATCCTGAGCCGGAGCCTGAGCCTTGTTCCTGTTCCTGCACCTGAGACCTGTTTCTGTGACCTGCTCCCTGTACCTTGCATCCAGCTCTCCCTGTACCTTGCTCCCTGCTCCTCTTGTTTACTGTCTTAGTCCTGACCTTGCCCTGCTTGTGTGTGCTCTCTCCATTTGTATATAGTTAGCCAGGTTTTCATTTGGTTTGCTGCATTTACACATTTATTTTGTCACTTTAAATTGTTATGGTTGATTGGTGTTGGTGTTGTATAAGTAATATTTATGTTAATAAACTTCATTTAACCTTTCTCAGCCTGGTTCCTGATTTCCTAAGGTGCAGCCCATTGATCTGGTCATCCTTGCTGGACGCCTGTGGTATCCCTAACAGGTAAGCTTACATCTTACCACTATCCTGGTGACGGTTGGAGCTACCTGGCACTTTATTTTTGAAGAAAAGGAATATTCTTTCACATGTTCAAAAAAACCCTTTTTCTATAATTGGGTTTCTGGGAATTTTTGAGTCATTCCAACTTTTGCATGTATATTAGAATATCTGTATAAATTATTTATGACACCGTTTTTTATATTTATTTAATCACATTCTCATGTAATTTTTCAAATATGTATGAGTTTAATGTTCTTTTTATGGAATTATTGAGTAATTTATGAGTGGTGATATTTTCACAGCATTTGACATCACTTGGTCATCATTTAGCAGGGCAACACTTTATGTTTTTAAATATACCATTGAAAGTGCAAAAATACCTTGTCACACAGCCAAAAATCTAGTGATATCCTGTGTCTTCTGCACCCATCAGTGTTTTCTCAAATAATGTTATCAGGAAGTGTGTTAGTACTATTGAACCCCTCCTTTGTTATAGAGAGTGGAGAGAGGGGAAATGTTTGGTAGTTCTAAATACAGTGGTCTCTAAACTGTGGCCCTGGCCAGATGCAGCTCTTTGTTTGCCTTTATCTGGCATTTGGGACACTTTTTTCTCCCACTGAAGCAAGACTATTTTGCCAACTGAAAACAATAGGACCTCATTTCTCCCACTGGTACCAACAATGGGGCACTATTCCTCCCATGATACGAAATGTGGCAATGTTTACTCTCACAGGAGATATTCCAATCCCGCTGGCCCCCCCCCCCCCCCCAAAGTCTGAAGGACAATAAACTGGCCCTTTGTTTAGAAAGTTGGGAGACCCCATTCTAGAACAATTTCAGTCCTAGTGAAATTACAGCTCTGATATACCACTGATACAATATAGTTGTCACCATAAGACTGAAAGTATTTATGTTGGGAACACCAGGTATAAATTTGGGAAAATAAGCCTGAAAAAAGAAAACTAATGCAGCCACAACATCTAAGGACTTGTAAACTGCAATATAGTAAGTATTTGTTATTGGACTGAAATACACTATGTGTGGGGGCTTCACTCATGTATAGTGCTTCCATCAAATTCAGACCAGCCAGGGATGTACAATTAAGTGCTTTTGGCCCACTTTTATTTAAAAAGTAAGTAAAGTTCAATTTTAACACAGATAAAAGGGTTCCCCTCTAGGGGTGTTCAGCATGCCTCTTCAAACGCTACAGAACACAAATGCTTCATTCAGCCTCTTGGCTTACTTTTGTAATGCTGTTGCTCTGATCTTACATTTGTGGCCCTATATGATCCTCCAGACCGTCTCACAAAATTCAGACTTTGCATCTCAGCCTATCTTGCAGGTCCCTGCTGTACTGGCCAGCACTCTGACTTCTGGGCAGGGGACCTCCTGTCTACCAGATGGAGCCCTAAATTACTGCCAGTTCCTTGATTAAAATAGCTGTGCAGACTTGCATAAGCAAGCTGCTGGTCTCCAATAAGACATGGACACAGAGTTAGAGATTTCACCCCCGAGGACTCTTCAAGCCTCTAGGACTCATTACAATCCCATGCATTTACCAATGCTGGAGAAAGCCAGTTTTCTCCACCCTGGAGCCCCTCAATCTTTGTCAATGAAAGCCCCATGTAAAATTGAAGCCATCTAACACAGTAACAAGACACAGCACTGTTTCACAGAGCATAGGTTTGTGGTTTTCATATCAGCATGGTTTGTCAACTTTTCACTGTTTTCTCTTCATTCATCTAACCCAGTGGTGGGCAACATTTTTTTTCAACTGAGCCAAATCTCGCCAAAACCACGATTGAAATTTATTTTGAGAGCCACATTTTTAAAACTGAAAATACATCCCCCATATAGTAATTCATCCCCCATAGTAATTCATCCCCCATATAGTAATTCATCCCCCATAGTAATTCATCCCCCCTATAGTAATTCATCCCCCATATAGTAATTCATCCCCCATATAGTAATTCATCCCCCATAGTAATTCATCCCCCATAGTAATTCATCCCCCATATAGTAATTCATCCCCCATATAGTAATTCATCCCCCATAGTAATTCATCCCCCATAGTAATTCATCCCCCATATAGTAATTCATCCCCCATATAGTAATTCATCCCCCATATAGTAATTCATCCCCCATATAGTAATTCATCCCCTTATAGTAATTCATCCCCCATATAGTAATTCATCCCCCATATAGTATTTCATCCCCCATATAGTAATTAATCCCCCATAGTAATTAATCCCCCATATAGTAATTCATCCCCCATAGTAATTCATCCCCCATAGTAATTAATCCCCCATATAGTAATTCATCCCCCCATAGTAATTCATCCCCCTATAGTAATTCATCCCCCATATAATTCATCCCCCATATAGTAATTCATCCCCCCTATAGTAATTCATTCCCCATATTGTGTCAATTCACTTACCTTTGCTCCGCGCGTTCCTCTCGCCGTGTTCCCGCGCCGTTCCGGTCTTCAGGGCGGACTGTGAGAGGAGAGGAGTTTCGTCACGCTGCCCCGCCTACATCTTGACAGCCAATGTTTGCCACGCTCCGCGGGCCGGATTAAAAGGTCCGCCGGGCCGTATGCGGGCCGTAGTTTGCCCATTGCTGGGCTAGCTGCAGAGTCCTGACTTTTGGGGCGGCCGCCTGAGAGGAGGGAGGGGAGCGGGCGCCCGGCACACAGAAGAGCCGCATTAATGTGTGTAAAGAGCCGCATGTGGCTCGCGAGCCGCGGTTTGCTGACCCCTGATCTAACCTGTAGCAGAGGGAAGACTATATATCAATCCATTCAACACGTGACATGTATCTTATGTGTATTACCAAATCATTCTATCAAGGCAGAATTACATAGACGTGATGATGAAAGTGAATGGAAACCAGCTGGTTAGTGCCACTTTTATCCTACCACAATAATTCACTAGAAATATAAATACATAGAAATTTATAAAAATCATACATTTTTAATAGCAGCGCCCACTGATTACTACTATATTAAATTGTATTGTAATTGTACTGTCTGCCCTTATGTTGTAAAGCACAGAGTAAACTGTTGGTGCTATATAAATCCTATATTATAATAATAATAATAAAAGTTACAGATGTTCTCTTCATAGTCAGATCCAGAAATGTTGCAGACAGATTTGTGCAGTGATGGATACATTGTCAACTATAATAAAACAGTATCCAGTATTTATGCGCATAATAAAGACAGTCCTAGAAATCTCTCACCTTCGCCATGTTTTCCTGGAGGCACTTTATGTAATACAGCCAGGTCGTACTTTTTCAGAAAAAGGAAAATTAGACATCAGATAAAGTGTTACTAGGGTATATAGAGTTGTATGTTCAATCGCCATAATTTTACCGTACTTACTGTTGCTGCAGGATAACACATTGATAGCTTGAAAGTCGTTTGGAATTTCAACTCTGATGTTAGACCTTAAAATCAACACCAAAAATAATTGGTAGATAAATTAACCATAAAACATTTAATTTGCATTAAATTTGGGTTCCATACTTTTAAAATGAGTTTAACTTAAACATGATCTCTAGGCTTCTGGTGCTTCTGAAGCAACGAACATCATAAGAAGATCAAATATATTGAAAATAATAATATTGTAGTGCTCTGCTTTTATTGTCTAGCCATCATACCTCAACTCCACAAAATATGTAAAAAAATATAAAAAATATTAATGCATAACTCTAATTCTTATTACATTTTTTATGTTTCTTTTTTATTTTAATTTTGTGTATTTGAGATATTAAGGGTAGACATTGAAAGGGCACTACTACACTATTATTATTTTGAATATTTTGGTTGATGTGGGAACACATTAAAGGTGTTAGCAGCAACCCACAACACTTATTGCACACTTTATTTCAGTGATGAAATTTAAATTTTGTCAAGCTTTTCATGCTGAAGCTTCAATATATGACCAACAAAAAAAAAGTTTATCTCCAACCAACATTTTTTTTATATATTTTAGACAGTCTAATGAAAGTCTATGACCTCTGTCAGGTTGTTATTGTTTTCTGAGGCCTCCTTGGAAAAAGTTATCTACACCATCTGTTCAGGTGACATCACCAGAATGTAATTAAAGGTAAATATGCAACAGGGACACAGACAGCAATGCAAACCTACCAGGGTTCTCAGCTTTTCCCTACTGCAATGAACAAAAAGTGTTTTTATTGCCATATGTCTCCCTGTTAGAGATATTCCCTCACTTCCTGTCATTTTTACAACAATTCTTACAAGGATAAGTGAAGGGGAATCTCCCCAATGGAGTCTGTAACAGAAGTAAAAACCTGACAGAAGTTCTTACCCTTCCCCACTCTACAACTAAAAAAAAAAAAAACATAGCTTGAGATACACTCTAAAGTGGTTGTAAACCTCAGACATGAAACATGAACAAAGCATACCCCTCTATTGTGTACACTTGTCTCATTTATGAGCACTAAGTGTCATTTCTGTCTGCTGCTTCATTTCTCTGCTATCAGTATGAATCACTTCTGACAAGGTTTCCTGACACCTAGAGAAAAATGGTGATGGGGAGGGACTTCCAGCAGATTGACAGCCTCACCTCTGTTCCTGTGAGCTATGTGGAGGGGTGTGTGTCTCTTCCCTCCAATCAGCTTTCATAACGCATCTCACTGAGCTCTGCAGTGTTATTTCACCACTCTGCACCCCCTTTTTTCATAAACTCTCAGACCAGCTTTAAAAATTAATCACTGTGAACGGATGTAGAGAAGAGAAGACTGCAGCTAGACAGGTACAACTTATGTAGGAGGATTTGTTTCATCTCTGTGTATCACCTGAGGCCATTCACTTTACTGAGTATATGTAAGGGTTTACAACCACATTAACCTCCCTAGTGGTATTCCCGAGTGTAGCTCGGGGTAAAGTTTCTGTACCAAAAGCGGTAACCCCGAGCTACACTTGGGCTTACCATGCGGCGCTGCATAGGGAGTCCCTTCAGACCTTACCTTGTCCTTCGCTCCTGCGATGTGTCCCCTGCAGCATCCCCGGCCATCTCCTCCAGCTGATGCCAGCATCCGGCTTCTGTGTTCTGGTCCCTGTGACGCCGGGATGTACGGGCGCCGCTGGCGGCGGGAAATTTGAAAATTTTTTAAAAATGTCATTTTTTTCAAAACAAATTTTAGATAGTAAAACATTGCTGTTTCAAACCATTTCACATACATTTTGTCCCTAGTGTTTTGTCCTGTCCCCTGTTTGCATTTTGACTGTTCTTTCTGCCTGGAAACTTAGAAAAGTCCATGGCGTCCAAAAAGCACCCCTTTTCCTGAAGAGTAATAGCTCACAGTCAAACCAATGGGAATAAAAGCAGAAAGTGTGGTCCGCAATGCTGTGCCCTTAATAAGGATAACTGACGTGTTTCAGCTTATCCTTATCCAGTTATCCTTATTAAGGGCACAGCATTGCGGACCACACTTTCTGCTTTTATTCCCATTGGTTTGACTGTGAGCTATTACTCTTCAGGACCGCCCTGACTGAATAGGGGAAATAGGAGCCCCTCTAAGGAGATCCAGGGAAGGAAGAAAGCTGCTGGCTATGGTCTATTAAGGATCCAGGGTGATCCTGCAAGCCTGTTGGCCCCTAGGGGTCAGTAGGAGGAGGTGAGGAGGCAATTTAGCCGTTAACGAGGAGGAGTTTGACACAGTCACGTGTTGCATTCAATATCACTATTGCACGTCGCATGATTTATGTCATTTTTCACCAAAAGGACATGGTTTTGGATGCATATATTTATGTATATTTTTTTTGTGACACTATGTGAGCACTGCTAAGATTTATGTCATTTTTCACTAAAGGACATTGCTTTGGATGCATTTATTTATGTTTATTTTTTTGTGGCACTATGTGAGCACTGCTAAGTTTTCCTATATTGGATGGTATTTTTGGAGTGTGATTTATTATTACTTATTGTGTACACACCAATTATATGGTTATGGTCTGGCACCTTATTTTCTATTTCTTTATCATGGTTTGGCACTAATTTCTTATTTTACTTTTGGCACTATTAATATATTAATTTTATTTATGCTATTGATTTAATATTATTTAATTTCTTAGAGCGCTGCACTATTATTATTGTATTATTATTTTTTATGATTATTTATTAAATTATAATTTATGATTTTGTGTTTCAAATTTTATCATACCCGGGATGTTTAATAGACTCTTGTTTCAGTGAGTTATTCCTAAATATTACAGCCGACAATATAAAAACTACATATTTCCATGCAAAATAATGGTACCGCTTTCAGCACCAAAAATCTGAAATAATCATACCGCCAGGGAGGTTAAGATAACAACAGAAATATTTACATATGTATTTACGAGTGGCGTCAAACCGGGTCAAAAAGAACACATTTCAAGGAGTGGAAACTGCATTTATTTTTCAACATAATCCCCTGCTACAGCTTGCTTCACTTTGTCATTATTGTGTTCACCATTTCCACAGAAAGATTTGTTTCTTGTGCAGTTTCACAACAGACTATTATCAAGGATAAGGCAATCCACGCGAATGTTCACAGGAATGACTGCTGTGGGCTGGGAACCACCACGGCCGGGATGGTCACTGATGGACGTATGGCCATGTTTGAGTTGTTTATGGCCAGGTACATGTGCGCTGCCTATCAGTAATAGGACACACTTGCCTCTTACTACTGCGTGTAGTACCGCCATGATAGAATTCCTGTTTATACCTGAAAAAAGTCCCGGTTTTGACTTGAACGCCCCTTATAGATACAGTAAAATAACTTAAAGCAGAGGTCCAGTGAGTATTAAAAAAAATTTAAGTCAGCAGCTACAAAAACTCTAGCTGCTGTCATTTAAAAAAAGGACACTCACCTGTCCCTCGATCCTCAGACCGACCAGACCACAGTTTGTGGCTTCACAGCCAGGTGTCCACTGCACATACGCGAGTAGCGCTGCGCTTTGTGAATGGTCTCATAGTCTTCTGGGACCTGTCACGTGTCCCCGAAGACAACGGGGTGGGAGAGGGGACAACTTCCATTTCTGATCACCTAGGCGAGGGTGAGACCTTAAAGCGGAACTTCCCCTTTTGGGTGGAGCTCCACTTTAATTACAGTATGTGTGTTTCTCAAGTCCTTGCTGACCAAGATCACTCTTACTTAATTATACTACTTTTCTATGAAATTCATTCATCTCTTGCAGTTTCTACATAAATAAACTTTCTTCTTGTGACACTTTAGCCCGCAATAAGGTGGTTTTCCAGATAAACCCCAAAATGTTTTGGGTGGATGTTACAGAAATAAAGGATAATATTTAGACGGATATCCAGGGCTTGGCATACCCTTTCATTCATCCTTTGCAAGCTATAAAAACTTGACAGGGATTCTAATATTATAAACTTTCCTACTCTAATCATGAATTGCAAAAAAAAAAAAACGAATCATTTTGGCTAAACACAATTAAATGAACCAGTATAAGTTTATCATTCACTTACATGTCAAATAAACTAGACTCAAACTCAGTACATAGAGTCTTGTCATGTCTCCACCAGCTCTTCATATCAGTAAGAGAGTCACAGTCAAAATTGTTTGGTTTGACACAATAAAAATATTCTTCATCTCTCTGGTCTCCATATTCACAAAGCTCTTGTGTTTTGTTTAGCTCAAATCCACATACTACCTCTTGTACTTCTTGTTGTCTTGTAAACTTTCCCAAATGGTCTACATATCCATGCCATTGATTTCGAAAGCGCCAAAGAGCTGATGATGCTTCACTTGGGTGCATGATAAATATAGAAATAGTAACATTACCTTCCCAGAACAATATGAAATGGACATGATATGTCCCATTCTGAAAATCCTCAATTCTGCCAGAAGCTGCTGCTCCAAGCTCTGATGTAAACATTCTTGCCCTTAAATAGTCTCCTCCATATGTCTTCTTGCTTCCATTGTAGTCAAACATTTGAACTTGTACTGTTAAATGGTCTCCAACACAATAGCTGCTCTTTGGATTTCTTAGGAAGACTTTACTGTTTTTAGCACTGGTTGATTTTTCTTTAATTTTAACAGTAGTTTTAGGGAATTTTTGATTTATTTGATTTAAAATGCTGTTTATTTCCAGTTCAAGTTTTGAAGCTGGTGCCACTGTTGGTTCTGGTAATATGTCAGAGACATCTTGCTTCAACCACTTCAAACAAAATAGAAGAAACATATTAAAACCAGAATTCAACATTACCAATGTGTTATATTTATACAGTAGCTTGTACTTTAATTGGTATTAAGAATCATTAATCAGGAAGCTAACCTTTAAATAGGAGCAGCACCAAGTTTGCTAACAGCAAGCAATTGCCATGGAAGAGAACCAAGCCTCATTTATTTTAGTTCAGCCATACAAAAAATACGCTAGTAACAAAAAGAGTGAGGAGGAAGGCAGTTAATCTTCCTTTCCACAGGTTTAACAGTTAAGCGTATAGGCAGGAAAAGGAGCCATTTTATGGTCCTTCAGAATTTACGGGGGCTGGACTACAGTCAGTGGGAATAGAAAATGTCCTGACATCCAATGGGAGTAAACACTGCTCTATCTTTCACATCAGTGGGAAGACTAATGCCCCATCATTGGTGTCAGTGGGAGGAATAGTGCCCCATGGTTGGTGTCAACAGAAGGAATTCTGCCCCATCATTGAGGCAAGAGGGAGGAATGCTGCCCCATCCTTGGTGTCAATGGAAGGAATTCTGCTCCATTGTTGGTGTCAGTGGGAGGAATAGTGCCCGAGCTTTGGTGCTCATGGGAGGAATTGTGCCCTTTCGTTGTTTTCAGTAGGAGGAATAGCGCCCCCTACGTTGGTGTCAGTGGAAGGAATAGTGCCCTACTGTTAGTGTCAGTGACTGAAATTATGCCCCATTGTTGGTGTTAGATGAAATAGTTCCCCAAGGGCCAGACAAAAGGTTAGCAAAGTGTCACATCCGGCCCCTGGGCCACAGTTTGGAGAACACTGGTTTAGATCCAGCAAGCCAGGTCCATTCTGGTGGGGCTCTGCAATAGTTTTCTATATTTAAACTGCTGAAAACTCTTTGTTAATTAGGCACAGGGCTATGCTAGTATTTATTTCACCCTAAAACTGGTGCCAGTGGTGCAGATAGATCTAAAACAGACACACACACACCATGCAATTGCTTCTTGTGCCATTGTAATGGTGCAGGAAACTTTGTTAAATACCCATTGAGTCTACATTTTTGGCAGATCTTGTAACAATGTATCTGACAATTGCATTTAACATATTGACTGCCAAGGACATATATTATAAACATTATGGTTGCACCCCTTCTAGCTTAGTCAATGACATATCGAATATGGTATGGCAATCAAAGCAGTTGCAACAAACTTTCCACTGCAGTAACAATGATGGGTCTATTTTAGATATTACATTGGCCTGTCCACTGCATGTACAAATGATTCAGGAAGCTACTAGGCTAGCTAGCATTCTCTATACACAACTGTTTGGCCATGGGTTCAGCTCCTGTGCATTTGAAAGGATTGCTCCATTTTCATTTCACATATTTTGATGAACATGAACCTCACTTAGAGTGGTTGTCAGGCTCAGTTCACACTATTGTGGGCTGTGCAGCCTGTGTTTGAGTTTCCTTTACAAAAAAGGTGCATGCACCTTTTTAAAAATGAAAAACTGCAGGAAAACCTCATGGTCTTTTTGACCATGCAGTTTCCTTGTGGTTCCCGCACTCGCAAATGTGCTGCGGGCTGACATGTGTGAGGTTGGCATTCAGAATGAATGGCATCCACGTGCATCTCATAACAGTAGTGCGATTCAGCTGTGGTTGGTTGTAGGTGTGGGAATAGATGTGATTTCCACAATCATCAGTGTGAACACAAAAAGCTGAAGGTTTTTTTTACCCTAATGCATTCTCTGCATTAAGGTAAAAAACCTTCTTCTTCCAGTTCCCCCCCCAGCCCTCCACCCCTTTTACTTACCTCAGCGTGATCTCCATCCAGGGTTAAGCATGAGAACAGCATCTCTCTTGGCTCTCTCCCTCCCCATAGGCTCAAAAACAGCAGCGGAAACCATTCACTTGCTTTGGACATTATTACTGAAATTTTATAGATAGAGAACTCCTATCCTCATGCTGATTAGTGGTTCCAAATGATTAAAAACTACTGCAGTAGGGAACAGACACAAAAAGATACTCTCAGCATCTTTCCAAATAACTGTTCTGTTTATTCAGTGCATTTGAAGTTTTTTCTATGATTACATAGGTATCACATTAATATTACAATTGTACTTTTATGGTAACAAGGTGCGTTACATAGGCAGGCTAATTTCTAATCAGGACTTATTCGTGCCGTGTGCACAATGAGTGCAGTGTACAATACATAGGCAAAGCACACAAAACAGAATACAAGTTTATACATAATTTACAAATTTCCTTTACAATCTCCCCTCTTTTGATCAATATTTTACATTTTGATCACAGACCACACCTCGGATCACCTTTAACCTGGAATCATCTTACATTTAGGTGGAACTAGTCCTGGCCTAGGAGGAAAACTCCACTGGGGAGAATCTAATAGAGAAGCTAATAGCTATATCAATATAAAATTACCTTTTATTGTAACTAAAGCATACATAAAAAACATGATTGATAAAAAAAAAATTTACAGAATAATTGGCTGTACACTCAGCTCCTGTGGCCGGAGTGGCCTTGTATCTGAATTGTGGACATGCTGACTTACCAGCATAGTTAAAAACAGAGAATTCTACATAAAATGGAAGACATATAAAAGACAATATGACTTCAACATGGCTGAACTACTTTTCAAATCAAATTAAATATACATATATCCTTTATTAATATATTTATTTAAATATTTGAATAAATAGTACCCCAGACTCTGATTCCAAATTTAAACACAGAAATACTTTCATTTAGTAATTTTTGTAGTGTCTGGTGTGGATCCAGGCGACTTTTCCTGCAAGTTGTGTAAATTGGACTTGAAATAGAAGCTGTATTGTGTCTCCAACCATTTCATATATACAGTGTGTGTGTGTGTGTATGTATGTGTATATATATATTTAGTTAGTTTGTCAAAAACCTTAAGAGATCAGCAATTTTCTCTGGGGTCCAAGTAGAGGACTTCAGCTGCTGAGAAAAATAGAAGCAAGTGACACTTCCAAACAAAATCTCATTGGGAGAGAGTCCACATATCTCCTTAGAGTATTATAAAATATGAAGACATTCAGGCCATAGTTTTCTAGTTTCTGACGTCCACTTAGTTACTCTACTTTCTCCATTACATAGTAGATGGTAGGGGCTGTAAAATAAAACCTCAAAGTTCTTGTAAGACCTCTCCTATAAAATGAGTTTCTCTGTTATTCTCTCTAGCTTCTGGGGCTCTTTACTTACAAACTACTTCTGACAAAACTCTTTACTTTGTCCTTTCTAGTAGCATATGCCACTGGCCAAACTTCTGGCCATTCAGAAAACATGTCCATACAGACCAGTGCATACTTTTAAGATCCTGACTTGGACATCTGGATATATCCTTTTGTAATCTCTGGAAGGGATGTTCACTCTTTGATAAAACCTTTGGGAACAGGTAAAACAAGAAGCGGTATATTAAAAACCAACAGTGGTGAACCCTGGCGCTTTTAAATGCTCACTTACTAAGGCAGCCATAACTGCTTCTGACTGATGGCAAAGTCCAGGGCCCTGATTTACTAATGTATATAGACGGCGCCTAGGCACATTTCTGTGGGCTAACGTCTACTTTTTTCATTAGAATCCATCTACTTTTAGACAGCAAAGACATTTACTAAAGAAAGCGTCTAACAAATAGATGCAAAAGCAAATTTACTAACTTGGCACAATACAGGAATCCGTCTAAAAAAACAGACGTCCTAGAAGCACGTCTAACAAAACCATGTACCCCATACTCATTCACATGGGGGGGGCGGAATCTGGGGGCCCCTTGTTAAAGGGGGCTTCCAGATTCTGATAAGCCCCCCCACCCACAGACCCCCACAACCACCGGCCAGGGTTTGGTATGGATGGGAGGGGGGACCCCACGCCGTTTTTTTTTTTTCTATAATTGCAGACCTTTATATTTAGATTCAGTTGTCAAAATATATATTATCTAGATCTTCGAAATATGTAAAACCATTACAGAAATCATTATAAAGATAAGAAACAAAAAATAGGATCAATAAAACTAAGGAAATCAAATTAGAATTCATAAAGCTATGCCTAGCTACAAAGTGTACTTTTCGTCAAACACAGTAGATGGGCTCGAATGCCGTCTTGCAGAGGACTTCACACAGAGATTTACTATTAAACAGCGTCTAAGAAGAAAGCGCCCACAGCAGACGGCTAAATTGTGTCCTGAACAGGCGCATTTATATCCGTGCATAGACGTTGGAAAAGCATCTAGTTGTTGATTGTCATGAATTCCCTTAAACTATTTTTTACCCATCGAAAAATTTTTGTAAATGTAATATATTATTTAAAGTGAAATCCAGATATTTGGGAAAGCAAATTTCAATGTGAACATGTTTCTACAGTGATTTTTCGTTTTGTTAGATGTGCTTCTAGCACATCTGTTTTTTAGACTGATTCCTGTATTGTGCCTATTAGTAAATTTGCTTTAGAGTCTACTAGTTAGACTCTTTCTTTAGTAAATGTCTTTGCCATCTAAAAGTAGATGAATTTCAGTGAAAAGTAGACTTTAGCACACGGAAATGTGCCTAGACTCTGTCTAGGCACACTAGTAAATCAGGGCCTTTAGGTTAATTTAGAATTAAACTGCACATTTACACATGGCCATGTGTAATCACTGCAGCTTGCAATAGCGAAGAACACCATGCTGCAATTTTCATACTAACTTGCATTAACAAGGTAAAAATCATACCACCTGGAAAAAATGTTTACCTACGCTATCTGTAATTTTTTTTGTAGGCTTCCTTTTTCTTTGAATCATTGATTATGGCAAGAGCAAAAAAGCCAGCAATAGATGAATCAAATCAATCAATCAATCAATCTATGGGCAGGCTGGTTGTACTGAAGTCGATCCATCGATCAACTTCAATACAACCAGCCTGTTGGCAGGCAAGAGCAAAAAAGCCAGCAATAGATGAATCTATTTGATCCATCTATGGGCAGGCTGGTTATACTGAAGTCGATCCATTGGTCAACTTCAATACA